ACATATGGATTTCCAGTTTTGCCAGCACCATTTGTTGAATAGGCTATCTTTTCTCTAGTGAATGTTTTTGGCACCTTCGTCTAGCATGAGATAACTGTATTGGTGTGAGTTTGTCTGGGTGTCTTCTATTCTGTACCATTGGTCTACATGTCTATTTTGGTGCCAATACCTTGCAATTTTTTGTTACTATGGCTCTGTAGTATAGTTTAAGGTCTGGTATTGTGATGCCTCCTATTTCCCTTTTCTTGCTAAGGATTGCTTTGGCTATTCTGGGTCTCTTATTTTTCCAAATAAATTTAATGATTGCTTTTTCTATTTCTATGGAGAATGTCATTGGGATTTTAATATGAATTGCATTAAATCTGTATATTTTTGTTAATATGGCCATTAATTCTGCCTATCCAGAAGCATGGGAGATCTTTCCATTTTCTGAGGTTTTCTTCAATTTCTTTCTTTAGTGTTCTGTAGTTTTCATTATAGAGTTCTTTCACCTCTTTTGTTAGATTGATTCCCAGGGTTTTTGTTTTGTTTTGTTTTGTTTTGTTTTTAAGGCTATTGTGAATGGGGTAGTTTTCCTAATTTCTCTTTCAGTGGACTCATCACTGATGTGTAGGAATGTGTTTGATTTATGGGTATTGATTTAATATCCTGCTACTTTGCTGAATTCATTTATTAGTTCCAGAAGTTTTCTGGTGGAATTTTTTGGATCTTCTAGATATAGAATCATGTCATCAGCAAATAGTGATAGTTTGAGTTCTTCTTTACCTATTTGTGTCCCTTTAATTTATTTTGTCTGTCTAATTGCTCTGGCTAGAGTTGAATAGAAGTGGTGAAAGAGGACATCTTTGTCTTGTTCCCATTTTTAGAGGGAATGCTTTCAATTTTTCTCTCTTAGAATGATGCTGGCCTTGTGGGGGGGAGGGGCAAATAAGCTTATGTAGCTTTTACAATGCTGAGGTATGTTCCTACTATCCTTAGTTTTTTCTGGTGTTTTGAACATGAAGTTGTGCCATATTTTGTCAAATCCTTTTTTTTAATTTATTTTTTATTCTAATTTGTTATATATGAGAGCAGAATGCATTACAATTCATATTTCACATATGCATTACAATTTATATTACACATATTTTGCATCTATTGAGATGATCATATGATTCTTGTTTTTAAGTCTATTAATATGATGAATTATGTTTATTGATTTCCATATGTTGAACCAATCCTGCATCCCTGGGATGAACCCCACTTGATCATGATGCAGTATCTTTTTAAAATGTTTTTGTATGCAACTTGCCAGAATTTTATTGAGAATTTTTGCACCTATGTTCATCAGGGATATTGGTCTGAAGTTTTCTTTTCTTGATGTGTCTTTGTCTGGTTTTGGTATCAGGGTGATATTAGCTTCATAGAATGAGTTTGAAAGGGATCCTTCCTTTTCTATTTCATGGAATACGGAGGAGTATAGGTGTCAATTCTTCTTTGAAAGTCTTGTGAACTTGACTGAGAATCCATCTGGTCCTGGGTTTTTCTTGGTTGGTAGGCTTTTGATGGTATTTTCTATTTCATTACTCGAAATTGATCTATTTAAATCATGTTTGATCTCCTCATTCAATTTGGGTAGGTCATATATCTCTAGAAATTTGTCAATGTCTTCAATATTTTCTATTTTATCAGAGTATAAATTTTCAAAATAGTTTCTAATTATCTTCTATATTTCAGACATGTCCATTGTGATATTTCCTTCTTTATCTTATATTTTAGTAATTTGAGTTTTCTTTCTCTTTTTTTTTTTCATTAGCATGGCTTGGGGTTTATCTATTTAATTTATTTTTTCAAAGAACCAATTTTTTTGTTTTGTCAGTTTTTTTCAATTGTTTCATTTGTTTAGATTTTATTGATTTCAGCTCTGATTTTAATTGTTTCCTACCTTCTACTACTTTTGGTATTGATTTGTTCTTCTTTTTCTAGGGCTTTGAGATGTAGCTTTGAGATGTAGGCCATTTATCTGTTGATATTTTATTCTTTTAATGAATGCTCTCAATGCAATAAACTTTCCACAATTGGGGTTGTGGCTCAGTGGTAGAGTGCTTGCCTATCATGCATGAGCCTCAGCACGACATAAAAATAAAAAGCAAATAAAATAAAGGTATTGTGTTCATATACATCTAAAAATACTGTGTGTGTGTGTGTGTGTTATAAAACTTTCCTCTTACTACTGCCTTCATAGTGTCCCAGAGATTTTGATATGTTGTATCAGTGTTCTCATTTACCTCTAAGAATTTTTTTATTTCATCCTTGATTTCTTCTACTATCCATTCATCATTCAATAGTGTATTATTTAGTCTCCATTTGTTAGAGTAGTTTCTATTTTTTATTTTATCACTGATTTCTAATTTCATCCCATTGTGATCTGATAGAATGAAGGGTATTATCTCTGGGCCTTTTTTTGTGTGTGTATGTGTTTACTAAGAGTTGCTTTGTGGCATAAAATATAGTCTATTTTAGAGAAGGAGTCATGTGCTACTGAGAAGAAAGTATATTCGCTCATTGATGGATGATATATTCTATATATGTCTGTTAAGTCTAAGTTATTGATTGCGTTATTTAATTTTATTGTTTCTTTATTTAGTTTTTGTTTAGAAGATCTGTCCAGTGGTGAGAGAGGTGTATTAAAGTCACCCAGTATCATTGTGCTGTGGTCTATTTGATTCTTGAAATTGAGAAGGGTTTGTTTAATGTATACATAGATGCTCCATTGTTTGGGGCATAAATATTTACAATTGTTATGTCTTGCTGATGTATACTTACCTAAAGAAGTATGAAATGTCCTTCTTTGTCTCTTTTGATTAACTTTAGCTTGAAGTCTACTTTTCTGAAATGAGGATGGAAACCCCTGCTTGCTTATACAATCCATATATGAGTGATATGTTTTTTCCAAATCTTTCACCTTCAGCCTGTGGATGTCTTTGCTCATGAGGTGAGTCTCTTGAAGACAGCATATTGTTGGGTCTTGCTTTTTAATCCATTTTGCCATTCTATGTCTTTTGATTTATGAGTTTAGGCTGTTAACATTATTTGCAGAGAACGCCTTATAGTTACCTGTCTTGATTAATATTGAAGTTTTAAAGTCATAATATTCAAATCCTAAGTTCTTCTGAGTCTTTTTGTTTAATGTAGAAGTCTTATACTTTTGATACCTAGTAATTTTTATATGAAAAGAAGTTTAGTCATTTTCATTTTTCTTTAATCAATGTTAAAATGACTCTTAAGTTTGATAGGATAAATCCTTCTAAATAGCCTTATTTATTTATTTATTTGGGGTGTAGATGAACAGCATGCCTTTATTTTGTTTGTTTATATTTTTATGGTGCTAAGGATTGAACCCAGTGCCCCTACATGAGCTAGGCAAGCGCTCTGCCACTGAGGTACAGCCCCAGCCCAAAATAGTATTATTTATAAACTTATTACTCAATTTCTTAAAACATTTTGAGTACATTTAAATTTAAAATATATCTGATTCTCTAAAACACTTCAAACACCTGACATTGCAAACTTAGCCTGACAAGTGAGATCTTTCTAGGTCTTTAAGCAATTACTGAAATTTAATAAATCTAGTGAGTGAAGTTTTCTTAAGATTCATGGCAGATAATTGCCAACTGTTTCTCATGTGAATTCTCTCTCTTTTTTTTTCTTTTACATAAAACCCCTAGGTTTTCATTTGGTTTGTCCATCCAACAACAGATTACATTTACCAGTTTCTTTTGCAGTGGGGTATGATCATGTGACCAAGTCTTGGTTAATGGAACTTGGGCAGATATGAAGAAAGCTACAACCAGGTCATTTCCTTCAAGGTAATTGTCACAGACACTGTTCTTTCTCACTTCCCTTGGATGTGGTGGTGAGCCACCATGAACCACATTGATGGCCCCCAAGCCCACAGAGCCCACAGAGAGCCAAAGGAGAAAAGGAGCCAATTCTTTAGAAGACCTTAAGGAGAAATGTTGCTTGGCCTCCAGTTCTGACCACTCATTACTAGACTATAACATAAGAAAAACAGAACAAAACTTTTATCATCTTTGAGCCATAGGGTTAGACTGTACCCCAGTAATACAGTCTCAGACTATCCATAAACTTAATCATATCCTCTTAAATGTTTCAAATTAAATTCAAGTCTAATGTACTAGGTTTTCTTATATGTTAGATTGCCATCAATGTTTCAACCTCTTTAAATAACACACAGATTATAATGATGATTAAACACTTACACCTAATCTTACCACAGGAATGTATCTTAGTCTGTTTTGTGCAGCTATAGCAAAATACTATAGACTGGGTAATTTATAATGAACAGAAATTTATTTCTTAAAGATCCACAGGCTAGAAAGTTAAAGATCAAGGGGCCAACATCTGGTAAGGGATTTCATGCTGCATCATGCAATGGCAGAAGGGATTAGGGTTAGATCATCTGGTTTAACACTGACCTACAAACCTGGTAAATGATTCCATCTCAGTTATGATTTGCCCAAGATGCTCATTCTCTGTCCAGACTGAAGTCCTTCACTTAATATTGGGGAAAATCATTCCTCCACAACAAGCATGTATGTAGGGTTTACTAAGTCACTCAACTGGTGTGGTCATTCCATGTGTCCGAGACTGGTGAAACCAGAGTTTGAGACTAAATTCAACTCTCCACTTCTGTTGTTGGGTGGGGCCTGTGCAAACTGCAAGCCTCTGCAGCTGAGTTTCAGTGTTATTAGCTAATTACAGCAGGGGATGCCCACCAGCGTCAACTCTGAGGGTCCCAGCCAGCCAGCAAAGGCAGATTCTTCTCCACTACTATCAAATGGTTTATTTTGAGGCTCAGTGTTGCAGTTCTAAATGGTGGAGTATGCCTTCCAGTGTTGCAACAGACCCTAGCAACTCACCACCAACTTCTTTCTGGGTTCAAGAATGAAATATGGAAGGCAAGAGTGAAAGAATAGGATTTATTCAAATGTGAAGAACAGTAACAGAACTCTTGCAAGGGCAAGAGGGGACCCCAAGGTTGTACTAGTCTAGGAGTTTGTGTGGCAACTGGGTCAATGCTATTGGTCCGAGTTTATGCTAATCAGGGTTTGGGAAAGTACTTGCTATTATTTAATCCTTGAGTCTGAACTCCCATTTAGGCCTGCCCCACTTCATTTTCTTCATGATGATTGGTAAGCAGGAGGCTGAGGACATCAGATGGTGGATGTGTGGGTTCTGGGCTGCTGCACTATATAGAGCAGGTGTCCACATCAGGCCAGGTCTGGCCCACCACAGGGTAGCAGAGTAGCACACCCTGGCTTGCCTCCACCCTGGTTGACTGTGCCTCGGCCTACACCCAGCATAAGAGGCTCCATGTGCCACCTGCTGCCTATGTTCCAGCCTGCTGGGGGCCAGCACTCTGCATCTCTGGGACAAGGGCTGGCTTCACTGGGACATGGTGGTGACCAAACCCACATATGTGTCTGTCTCTGGAAGAAAAAAATGAAGTGGCTAAATTAGCTAGGCTTGGTAATAGGAAGGAAATAAGGAAGGAAAGATGTGTTAGTCAGCTTTGTGTTACCATAACAAAATACCTGAGATTATCAACTTAAAAAGAGGAAAGGTCTATTTTGACTCACAGTTTTAGAGATTTTGATCCATGGTCAATTTGCCCTGTTGCTTTTGGCCTGTGGAGAGACAACGCATCATGGTGGAGTGTGTATCAAAGCAAAACTGCTTACTTCATGGGCTGGGAAGTAAAGCAGAGAAAGAGGAAGAGATGAGAGCCCCCACAGTTCCCTCAAGGGCATGTCTCCAGTGATCCGGAGACCTGCCAATAGGCCCCATCTCTTTTTTTGGTGGGGAGGGGATGCTGGAGATTGAACCCGAAGGCCCTGCCTCTTAAAGATTCCACCACCCTCCAATAAGTACCAGCCTGGAATCCAATTCTTTAATCCTTGGGCCTTTGGGGCACTATCAAAATCTCAACTGCAGCAGAGAGAAAGGTAATAACCGTGACTCTAGGGCTCCTCCCACATGTCATTGGACATATAGGAGATGATGTAAGAGGGACATCAGGTTTTTGTAAGCAGCAATGTAGGCATCTCAGGTGGGGTGTGTCATTTAGAATCAAGCTGCTCGGATCCAACACCAGCTCCATGCTCTCCAGCTGTGTGACGACATCAGCCACATCACTTAGCCTCTTAGCAACTTTCCTTCCTGAAAACAAGGAGAGCAATAGCCCTAGAAAACAGAGTATTGTTAAGATGAAATAAGCTTATAAATGTAACGCATCTGAAACAGGACCTGGCTTCCCAAAATTATCCTTCAGTACACAATAGGTCAGAGCTGCCCTTGAGGTACCAGCAGAATGTCATCTCTGGGGATCTAGACTTTGGTTCCCTTCACAGTTGGGTCCTGGCCTCTGGAACAATCCTGATGCAGATAGGGTGCTCAATAAGTCTGTGGTGCCAAATGCAGGTGGGGGTTTCCTCTAGATGGTGGGCTGTGTCCCCTTGAGCTGGGGTTATTGACCTGTGAGTCTCATTTGGGAATGATACCTGAAGCCTTCAGCTAGGCTGAGTCCCCAGGGAAAGAGCAAGGAGTGTGCTTGTCACAGGACAGAAGCCGATTAGTCAAGAAGCAAGGAAATGGTAGAGAACAAAATGTACTACCATGAGCCAGCTGATCAGAAAAAGGCCAGACCATCATCCTAAGAACCGTCTTGACTAACAACCACAACTGAAGAGCTTATATGGGAAATTAAGGGAAAGTATTTTTAGCCACAGATGAGTGGGTGGTAGAGTGATCATTAATACTACAGTGATCCATTCATTTGATGCACATTCTGATGTTATCTGAAGGTCACCAGATGTTCCAGGTTCTGTAGATCTAAGAGTCCTTTTTCTTGAAATAGTTGACTCTAGCAGTTAGTATTTTAATCAATTTAGGTGCAGCTTTTCTTTAAAATGCAGAATCCTGGGCAAAGGCAAAGAAAACAGAAAGCAAGTTTGCAGAGGACTAGTTAGCCCAGTAGACAGCTTCAGGGCCATGGGTACCATTTGGGACATAGGTCTCTGCCACTTCTACCCCACCTCCCCTCCCCTGGGGGTCCCTTCATCATCATCCCTCTTAGGGGTCCTGAAAAACAAACATTCTAGGAGGAACAGAAGATAGCTTGAGCTTCTCCATCCTAGAGCTGGGCGGGGAAAGGTGGCCTTCCCCTTTCCTGGGTCCACAGCTGTGCAAAAAATTGTGTTGCTGCAGTATTGGTGCTTTTCTCCTCACTAGGTGGAAAATATTTGTGTTAGTTAGCTTTCCATTGCTGTGACAAAATACCTGAGAAAAACAACTTCAAGGGAAGATTTAATTTGGCTTATGCTTTCAGAGGTTTCAGTCCATGGTCACTGGCTCTGTTGTCTCTGGGCCTGTGGCAAGGCAGAATATAATTGCTCAGCTCATGGCAGCCAGGAAGCAGATAGAGAGAGAGAGATTGAGGGGTGGGGAGGAAGGGACCTCAGACAAGATATAACTTTCCAGCGCACATCTCCCGTGACCTACTTCCTCCAACCTCTCCCTACTTCCTTCAGTTTCCACCACCTCCCAATAGTCTATTCAGCTATAGATTCCTCTAATCCACCGATGAGGTCAGAGTCTTCGTGATCCACTCACTTCCCAAAAGACCAACCTCAGAACATTGCTGCTTTGGAGACCATGCCTTCAACACTTGAGCCTCTCGGGGGGAAGTCAGATCCCAGCCACAACAGTGCCATCCTCGTCGTTGTCTGTTGCACGTGCTGGCTGTCTATTCCTGTGTCTGGGTGCCTATTTTACTACACATCCAGCCCTTGTCCTACTCCTCCCTCCTCTTGTTAGAACTCCAGGTACTGGCATTGGTGCCTGAACTATTTCAGGGAAAGGTTACCTGCCGTGACTGGTCTGTCCTGTAAATTAACAGTTCTCTGCTAACTTTCCACTCAGGAAGTTCCCTTCAGGGGACGCCCCATTCCCCTGGCCTTGATAGTATTTCCTTGTGACCCACATGTCTCAGAGTGACCGTAAGAGGCTCAGCACGACATCCTTATGAGCTCCACCCTGAGTGGTAGGTTGTGGGAAATGGACCTCATGAGCTTTCTGGTAGCTTCCCTGCTCTTTAAAGCAGTAAAGCCCTGATTTAATTGTTTCCTCACATTTTAAAAGCCAACACCCCAAGATAGAGGCTGGCCGCCCCACCCCAGGAAGGGGGTCTGGTTCCCGGAAGAGGCCCTGCCCCAAGGCTTTAGCCTCTGTGAACCTCCACAGATCAATAGATAAGCCCCAGGTGAGTCAGAGGGAGTAGGAGGCCCCAGCAGGGGCCCTACAGGGACTGCCCAGGGCCTGAAAATCCAAGAAGAGAGGGAGCCATCGTGCTAGGCTTCTGCGTTTTGAAGGGTGATATTTTTGTCACAGGCATCTTTCGATTGTAAGATCTCTGTAAACTCATTACAGAAAATTTATACCACAATCTGAGCACAGCAATTATTGGCCCTCAGAGATTTCTAGACTTACTATGGATCTATTTGTATATTTTAGTGACATCCCTGGAATCACGCTGTCCATACCATTCTGTATTCCACTCTTTCCTATATGTGAATCATGAGGATGCCCATGTTCTCCATGAACCTTCGTATTTAAAACTGCAGCACAAGGACTGCCGCTTAGCTCCCCTACACCGCCCTGGATCTTGGACATTTCAGTTCACACTTTTGCACTCTTCTGTTCTGTAACTAATTCTTAGATGAACATCTTCGTGCTTTGGCTTTTTCTGCATTTAGGAGCGCTTCCTTTAGTTGGCCTCCCAAAGTGAATTTCTTGAATCATTTATGGCTTCTTTGGCATATTTTCACCAATAAATAAATAAAATAGAAATGGGCAGAGCAGGCCTCAGAACCTGGAAGACTGAGACTGAACAACAAGGACCTATTTTTTTCAACACCTAGAAAACAGCCATAAAATTTATCTGGGGGTAGGGTAAGAGGTCAAAAGATCTAGAAAGAGGAAATAGAGATGACTAGAAATGCCTGAGTAGTACAGGGCTCTGTGCTAAGAGAAGAGTCTTGAGTCTGGACGGGCACCTGCCCACATGCTTTCCGGGCCTCAGTGGCACCACCCTGGGCACAGCTCCAGTGGGGACCAGTGGGAGATACAATGGAAAGTTACTCAAAGGCGGAAACTGGCACATCCCCGTGGTTCCCAGAAGCAGGCCCAGCCCACCCCTCACCGAGGACACCATAGAAAAAGGGAATTCCAGCACCTGCTTCCTGCGGGTTCCAATCTGGCCGTTTCCACCCATTCCTTCCATCTCGTTCTATCCTGAGTTTTGTTTTTTAGACATTCAGTCTTATAGTCACTTTTTGACCACTCAAGGTGAAAGTGGCACGGTCCTTTTGCATCTGACAATGGTTCCCTCAAGCCGTAACTCTGGCTCCATTACCACTGGCTGCAGCTTTGGGTCACCCCGCACGGATTCCTCCACAAGCCCCAGGACCACCGCAGCCCTGGCCTGGAGGGCTCCCTCCCTGGGTTCTTCTTGTGCTGCTTGGTTTCTAGCACTACCTAGACGCTGTCAATGTCCATTTGTTCTCCCAGCCCAGACCTCCCTCTTGGACTCCAGGCCCCACATTTTGGCTGACCATTAGATATTTCTAAATGCACCCTAGACTCAGAAGTTGCATGAGTCCTTTATCTCCCCTTCTCTGGTACGTGAGTGGCACCACCCAACACTCAGGCCTTGTGGCAGAAATTTGAAAACCTCCTAGACTTGACCTCGTTTCTCACCTCCCACCCAAGAAGCCACCAAGTACCTCTCAAACCCATCCCTTCCTCCTAACTGCCTCCCTCCATGGAACTAGACATGCACTCCTACAATGATACCTTGCCAGCCTCACAAACCTGGGGCTTCTCTCTCCTGCCCTGTGTCTCCCTCCAGAACAGAGACATGATCATGACGCTTCCCTATTTAAAACCCTAACTGCCCCCTGGAGCCAGGGGTGCTGGAGGACAACATTCCAAATCCATTCGTTTCTTCACTCACTCAGCTAGGGTGTACCAGGACTTGCATCTGAGGGACACTGTGCTAGCCCAGGGGATAAATAGAGCAAATTTCCCAGCTGGGAAATAGAGCAAATGTGGAGAAGCAACATGCAAGATCATCTAGAAATGGCTCATCCATCCACACCCAGTTTAACCCCTGGCTACATCCCCACCTAGTACTGTACAGTTACACTCACAACCTTGCAATTCCCAAAGCCTGGTGTGTCTCTGCCTTTGACAAGTTGCTCCTTTGGCCTTGTTTCTACTTCCCTGTTGTTTCTGTGCATTATCATTTGTTCTTCCCGACTCCGCTGCATTCTTAGCTCCTCTTGAAGCTTCCCTGAGTCTCTCCTCGAGTCCCTTGGGACTGACCTGTCCTCCCTCTATGTCACCAGCACCTGTGTTTACCTCTGTAATT